TCTCCTGTCTCGCTGTGTCTCTCTCTGTGAGTGTCACTGTTAGTCTACAGCTGCCTGTCTCGCTGTGTCTCTCTCTACGTGAGTGTCACTGTTAGTCTACAGCTGTCTCCTGTCTCGCTGTGTCTCTCTCTACGTGAGTGTCACTGTTAGTCTACAGCTGTCTCCTGTCTCGCTGTGTCTCTCTCTACGTAGTGTCACTGTTAGTCTACAGCTGTCTCCTGTCTCGCTGTGTCTCTCTCTACGTGAGTGTCACTGTTAGTCTACAGCTGTCTCCTGTCTCGCTGTGTCTCTCTCTACGTAGTGTCACTGTTAGTCTACAGCTGTCTCCTGTCTCGCTGTGTCTCTCTCTACGTGAGTGTCACTGTTAGTCTACAGCTGTCTCCTGTCTCGCTGTGTCTCTCTCTACGTGAGTGTCACTGTTAGTCTACAGCTGCCTCCTGTCTCGCTGTGTCTCTCTCTACGTGAGTGTCACTGTTAGTCTACAGCTGTCTCCTGTCTCGCTGTGTCTCTCTCTACGTGAGTGTCACTGTTAGTCTACAGCTGTCTCCTGTCTCGCTGTGTCTCTCTCTACGTGAGTGTCACTGTTAGTCTACAGCTGTCTCCTGTCTCGCTGTGTCTCTCTCTACGTGAGTGTCACTGTTAGTCTACAGCTGCCTGTCTCGCTGTGTCTCTCTCTACGTGAGTGTCACTGTTAGTCTACAGCTGTCTCCTGTCTCGCTGTGTCTCTCTCTACGTGAGTGTCACTGTTAGTCTACAGCTGTCTCCTGTCTCGCTGTGTCTCTCTCTACGTGAGTGTCACTGTTAGTCTACAGCTGTCTCCTGTCTCGCTGTGTCTCTCTCTACGTGAGTGTCACTGTTAGTCTACAGCTGTCTCCTGTCTCGCTGTGTCTCTCTCTACGTGAGTGTCACTGTTAGTCTACAGCTGTCTCCTGTCTCGCTGTGTCTCTCTCTACGTGAGTGTCACTGTTAGTCTACAGCTGTCTCCTGTCTCGCTGTGTCTCTCTCTACGTGAGTGTCACTGTTAGTCTACAGCTGTCTCCTGTCTCGCTGTGTCTCTCTCTACGTGAGTGTCACTGTTAGTCTACAGCTGCCTCCTGTCTCGCTGTGTCTCTCTCTACGTGAGTGTCACTGTTAGTCTACAGCTGCCTCCTGTCTCGCTGTGTCTCTCTCTACGTGAGTGTCACTGTTAGTCTACAGCTGTCTCCTGTCTCGCTGTGTCTCTCTCTACGTGAGTGTCACTGTTAGTCTACAGCTGTCTCCTGTCTCGCTGTGTCTCTCTCTACGTGAGTGTCACTGTTAGTCTACAGCTGTCTCCTGTCTCGCTGTGTCTCTCTCTACGTAGTGTCACTGTTAGTCTACAGCTGCCTCCTGTCTCGCTGTGTCTCTCTCTACGTGAGTGTCACTGTTAGTCTACAGCTGCCTCCTGTCTCGCTGTGTCTCTCTCTACGTGAGTGTCACTGTTAGTCTACAGCTGTCTCCTGTCTCGCTGTGTCTCTCTACGTAGTGTCACTGTTAGTCTACAGCTGCCTCCTGTCTCGCTGTGTCTCTCTCTACGTGAGTGTCACTGTTAGTCTACAGCTGTCTCCTGTCTCGCTGTGTCTCTCTCTACGTGAGTGTCACTGTTAGTCTACAGCTGCCTCCTGTCTCGCTGGTCTCTCTCTACGTGAGTGTCACTGTTAGTCTACAGCTGCCTCCTGTCTCGCTGTGTCTCTCTCTACGTGAGTGTCACTGTTAGTCTACAGCTGCCTCCTGTCTCGCTGATGTCTCTCTCTACGTAGTGTCACTGTTAGTCTACAGCTGTCTCCTGTCTCGCTGTGTCTCTCTCTACGTGAGTGTCACTGTTAGTCTACAGCTGTCTCCTGTCTCGCTGTGTCTCTCTCTACGTGAGTGTCACTGTTAGTCTACAGCTGTCTCCTGTCTCGCTGTGTCTCTCTCTACGTGAGTGTCACTGTTAGTCTACAGCTGTCTCCTGTCTCGCTGTGTCTCTCTCTACGTAGTGTCACTGTTAGTCTACAGCTGTCTCCTGTCTCGCTGTGTCTCTCTCTACGTAGTGTCACTGTTAGTCTACAGCTGTCTCCTGTCTCGCTGTGTCTCTCTCTACGTGAGTGTCACTGTTAGTCTACAGCTGTCTCCTGTCTCGCTGATGTCTCTCTCTACGTGAGTGTCACTGTTAGTCTACAGCTGTCCTCCTGTCTCGCTGTGTCTCTCTCTACGTGCGTGTCACTGTTAGTCTACAGCTGCTCCTGTCTCGCTGTGTCTCTCCTTTCGTGAGTGTCACTGTTAGTCTACAGCTGTCTCCTGTCTCGCTGTGTCTCTCTCTACGTGAGTGTCACTGTTAGTCTACAGCTGTCTCCTGTCTCGCTGGTCTCTCTCTACGTGAGTGTCACTGTTAGTCTACAGCTGTCTCCTGTCTCGCTGTGTCTCTCTCTACGTGAGTGTCACTGTTAGTCTACAGCTGTCTCCTGTCTCGCTGTGTCTCTCTCTACGTGAGTGTCACTGTTAGTCTACAGCTGCCTCCTGTCCTCGCTGTGTCTCTCTCTACGTGAGTGTCACTGTTAGTCTACAGCTGTCTCCTGTCTCGCTGTGTCTCTCTCTAGTGAGTGTCACTGTTAGTCTACAGCTGTCTCCTGTCTCGCTGTGTCTCTCTCTAGTGAGTGTCACTGTTAGTCTACAGCTGTCTCCTGTCTCGCTGTGTCTCTCTCTACGTGAGTGTCACTGTTAGTCTACAGCTGCCTGTCTCGCTGTGTCTCTCTCTACGTGAGTGTCACTGTTAGTCTACAGCTGTCTCCTGTCTCGCTGTGTCTCTCTCTACGTGAGTGTCACTGTTAGTCTACAGCTGTCTCCTGTCTCGCTGTGTCTCTCTCTACGTGAGTGTCACTGTTAGTCTACAGCTGTCTCCTGTCTCGCTGTGTCTCTCTCTACGTGAGTGTCACTGTTAGTCTACAGCTGTCTCCTGTCTCGCTGTGTCTCTCTCTACGTGAGTGTCACTGTTAGTCTACAGCTGCCTCCTGTCTCGCTGTGTCTCTCTCTACGTGAGTGTCACTGTTAGTCTACAGCTGCCTCCTGTCTCGCTGAGTCTCTCTCTACGTGAGTGTCACTGTTAGTCTACAGCTGTCTCCTGTCTCGCTGTGTCTCTCTTTACGTGAGTGTCACTGACTCACTCACACTGACTCACTCACACACAGCTCACTTACACACACAGCTCACTCACACACAGCTCACTCTCACACACAGCTCACTCACACACACAGCTCACTCTCACACACAGCTCACTCTCACACACAGCTCACTCACACAGACAGCTCACTCACACAGACAGCTCACTCACACTCACAGCTCACTCACACACACAGCTCACTCACACACAAAGTTCACTTTCATACACAGCTCACACACACACACAGCTCACTCACACTGACTCACTCATACTGACTCACACTCACACACAACTCAATCTCACACACAGCTCACTCACACAGCTCACTCACACTGACTCACTCACACTGACTCACTCACACACAGCTCACTCACACTGACTCACTCACACTGACTCACTCACACACAGCTCACTCACACACACAGCTCACTCACACACAGCTCACTCTCACACACAGTTCACTCACACACAGCTCGCTCACACACATACACATCTCACTCACACTGACTCACTCATACTGACTCACACTCACACACAACTCAATCTCACACACAGCTCACTCACACAGCTCACTCACACTGACTCACTCACACTGACTCACTCACGCACAGTTCACTCACACTGACTCACACACACAGCTCACTCACACTGACTCACACAGCTCATTCTCTCACACACACAGCTCACTCACACTGACTCACACACACTCACATGCAGCTCATTCTCTCACACACACAGCTCACTCACTCTCACACACATCTCACTCACACACACGGCTCACTCACACTGACTCACTCACACTGACTCACACACACAGCTCACTCACACTGACTCGCACACGCAGCTCACACAGCTCATTCTCTCACACACACAGCTCACTCACACACAGCTCACTCACACTGACTCACACAGCTCACTCACACACACAGCTCACTCACACACACAGCTCACTCACACTGCCTCACTCACACTGACTCACACACACAAAGCTCACTCACACTGACTCACACACACAGCTCACTCACACTGACTCACACACACTGACTCACTCACACACACAGTTCACTCACACTGACTCACACACACTCACACGCAGCTCACACATAGCTCATTCTCAAACACACACAGCTCACTCACACACAGCTCACTCACACACAGTTCACTCACACACAGCTCACCCTCACACACAGCTCACTCACTCACATTGATTCACACACACAGCTCACTCACACTGACTCACACACACTCACATGCAGCTCACATACAGCTCATTCTCTCACACACACAGCTCACTCACACTCACAGCTCACTCACACTGACTCACTCACACTGACTCACTCACACTGACTCACTCACACTGACTCACTCACACTGACTCATGCACACACACAGCTCACTCACACTGACTCACTCACACTGACTCACTCACACTGACTCATGCACACACACAGCTCACTCACACACACAGCTCACTCACACACACAGCTCACTCACACACACAGCTCACTCACACTGACTCACTCACACTGACTCACTCACACACAGCTCACTCACACTGACTCACTCACACTGACTCACGCACCCACACAGCTCACTCACACACACAGCTACTACGGATTGGCCGGGCTCATTAGCATAATGTATTTAAGATACAGAGCCGCTCATTGTGGGAGTGAGTGTCTTGTGCCCCGCAAGTGACGTCATGTCACCTCCTACTGCCGCGTGACGTAGTGAGGTAACAAGAAGCTGCCGTTTCGCCCGTGCACTGAAATCCGAGGTGAGAAATTCTCATCGCGGTTGTGGTGGTTGTGGTGGTGGTTGTGGTGGTGGTTGTGGTTGTTTTTATGGTGATGGTTGTTGTTTACCGAGGTAGAGCCTCGCTCTCTCTCTTGTTGGGATGTCAATTGAGTTGCAGCGAGCAAGGAAGCGATGTCCAGGTAGGAACTTTACAACGCGGGGCCTTGCCTCCTGCCCTCGCCTGATCGCATTTGCCACAATTCTCTTGCATAAGTTTAATTTGTCTTGACCTGGCTCACTACTTTGTAACTTTGTTTAGCTTTAGATATTGACACAGTTTTTTTAATATTTTACCAGGCCAAGCCCGCTTTAGCTGCTCTACCGCTCTTGTTTTCAGAAGCGACCTGCCCACAACAACAACAAGGTGAGGCTTGTCATCAGCGTGGCGGTGTTGACTCTCTGCATGTGGAGTGGGGACAACAGGAGGATCCGGAGGGAAATCCACGCGACCACGGGGATAGAGAGAGACACGCAAACTCCAAATATACAGCAGGCTTCAGGGTCGGAGAGGTTGTTAACATTTCCCCACGGGGAGATAAGAGAGACACGCAGCCTCGGCTGTGTTGATTGATCCTCAATGAATTACTTGGTGGAGTAAGGAAGCATTGATACTGACCGGAAGAAAGGTGGCCAGGCATGGGTCTGGACACACCACCACCTGTTAACCATGCCAGTGTGTGACAGCGTCAAGTGTGTGTTTGCAGTAAAGTCTATTAACTCTTGAACACGGAGGTTATATCAAAACAATAGTTTGTTTTTGTTTTCCTCTGGAACTCTTTGTAAGAATGGAAACCGTCAGGAAGTTAACACAGCACACACATGCAGCTGAAGTCAGATTGCACGACGTGGTACACGAGAGCGGTAGCGTGGACGTGGTTGTGCGCAAGCAACTACTGCTGCACACGCCAACGCATTGGACAGAGAGGGGGAGGGGAGACCAAAAGAGAGTTTGGGGTGTAAGTGTATGTTGACGTGTGTGTACAAGCACCTGTTGATACACATGATAGAAAAGAACGAAAATGCCCTTGTTTATACCAGTGCTGGCTGAACAATGAAGAGAGTACTGTTAAACACTGGGGATGTTAACACTCGGTAAAGTAAAGTAAAATAGTGCCTGTCAGATAAGATGGTCCAAAAATGTGTAATTAAGTCTTTTTTGCGTGGTTGATAACATCTTTCCAATGATTACTAAGTTTGTACCCATCATCACGGTTGAAATTATGTCTGTGTTTGTATATTTGTATGGCCTCGTGTACAAACCTTTGATGGTAGCCAGGAGGTTTGCAGAGAACCTTGGTTTCGGAAAAGACAATTTCATGAGAGCCCACCGAGTTGTAGCAATGATCGGCAATGGCCGAAGAATCAGTTCTGCCGTGTTTCAGATCTAACTTGTGCTCGCGGACACGATCAGAAACATGACGTTTCGTTTCTCCAATGTAGCAATCACCACAAATGCAACTCAATTTATAGACTCCAGCATACTGTAAGTCAGGAACGACATCCTTCACAGATGGAATCAGATCACGGATTTTATGCACTGTACTGAATCGGACTTGGATCTTACGTTTGTTTAGAATTTTGGAGATCTTTTTGGTCACGCCTGCTATGTAAGGTAACGTGATAGTTGTGGTCGGAGTTTCATGTGGCTGTTTCTGTGTGGTGGGAGAAACAGCTTGGCGGATAGTGCGGTCAGAGTATCCGTTCATCCTGAGGGCCCGATGTACATGTCTTAATTCACCGGTCAGGTGGTGTTGGTCAGAAATGCCATGGGCTCTGTGGTATAGCGTTTTGATGAGAGAATTCTTTTGAGATGGGTGGTGGTGGGAATCCGGTTTCAAGTAGGAATCTGTGTGGGTGGCTTTCCTGTAGACAGAATGTCCCAAGGATCCGTCAGGCCTCCTCTCAAACAGAATATCCAAGAATGGTAGTTTACCGTCTTTCTCCACTTCCATGGTGAATCTGATGGATGGGTGTCTAGAATTGATGTGGTCCAAGAAGTGGTTCAGTGCTGGGAGGCCATGTGGCCAGATGACGAAAGTGTCATCCACATACCTCTTCCACAGGTAAGGATGCAGGGTGGCTGTCTGGATGGCGTCTGATTCAAACTTTTCCATGAACATGTTGGCTATAACTGGTGACAAGGGGGAGCCCATAGGGGTACCCTCATTCTGTTTGTAGAAGGTGCCATTCCAGGTAAAATAGGTGTTTTACTTTAAATATTCACGCAGTTTTTTTCATATTTTACCAGGCCAAGCCCGCTTTAGCTGCTCTACCGCTCTTGTTTTCAGAAGCGACCTGCCCACAACAACAACAAGGTGAGGCTTGTCATCAGCGTGGCGGTGTTCACTCACTCTCTGCATGTGAAGTGGGGACAACAGGAGGATCCGGAGGGAAATCCACGCGACCACGGGGATAGAGAGAGACACGCAAACTCCAAATATACAGCAGGCTTCAGGGTCGGAGAGGTTGTTAACATTTCACCACGGGGAGATAAGAGAGACACGCACCCTCGGCTGTGTTGATTGATCCTCAATGAATTACTTGGTGGAGTAAGGAAGCATTAATACTGACCGGAAGAAAGGTGGCCTGGCATGGGTCTGGACACACCACCACCTGTTAACCATGCCAGTGTGTGACAGCGTCAAGTGTGTGTTTGCAGTAAAGTCTATTTACTCTTGAACACGGAGGTTATATCAAAACAATAGTTTGTTTTTGTTTTCCTCTGGAACTCTTTGTAAGAATGGAAACAGTCAGGAAGTTAACACAGCACACACATGCAGCTGAAGTCAGATCTGTTCATCCCAGCATGCAAGGACATCGTGAGCCTGGCTGGCTTCACACCTCTAAGTTGCGTTTGGACATTAATTTATGCATTTCTGCATAACACTATTAGTTCTATTTTCAACAACTTTTGCTATGTCAGTGGAATTTAGCTTTTATAAATGTTTATTTTGTATCCAGACAGCCAAAATTGTGTGCTTGGAGTTTTGGGTTAACATTCATTTTGAAGATACGAGGGCTTCCAGGCATGTTTGTGACCATTTTCCTTCTCATTGTGTGCCATAACAGCCCGTGTGATGAATTTGGGACACTTTTTCACTATATCATGAATATATGAATAGGTATAGACGTTTGACTGTGTATATATGCATTCCTCTGTGCATCGATACTGACGTGTAGATGGTGTTGATATTTTTTTTCTGTCTGCAGCTGTCACTTCTTCTGCATAATTAATCTAATGGAGCAAAGGCACTCTGCACGGCTCGGTGCATACAGCACGGATCGTACTGGAAATTTGACACGGCACCAGGGAACTCGCACAAGAGAGAAACCCTTCAAGTGCAGTGTGTGTGGGAAGGCATTTTCACATCCATCTGCTCTTCAAAAACACCAGAGAACACACACAGGAGAGAAACCCTTCAAGTGCAGTGTGTGTGGGAAGGCATTTGCACGTTCATGTCCTCTTGTAATACACCAGAGAACACACACGGGAGAGAAACCCTTCAAGTGCAGTGTGTGTGGGAAGGCATTTGCACGTTCATGTTCTCTTGTAATACACCAGAGAACACACACGGGAGAGAAACCCTTCAAGTGCAGTGTGTGTAGGAAGGCGTTTGCACAGTCATCTACTCTTGCAATGCACCAGAGAACACACACGGGAGAGAAACCCTTCAAGTGCAGTGTGTGTGCGAAGGCATTTGCACATTCAATTTCTCTTGTAGCACACCAGAGAACGCACACAGGAGAGAAACCCTTCAAGTGCAGTGTGTGTGGGAAGGCGTTTGCACAGTCATCTACTCTTGTAGAACACCAGAGAACACACACGGGAGAGAAACCTCTCAAGTGCCGTGTGTGTGGGAAGGCGTTTGCACGGTCATCTACTCTTGGAAAACACCAGATAACACACACGGCAGAGAAATCCTTCAAGTGCAATGTGTGTGGGAAGGGGTTTGCACGTTCATCTACTCTTGTAGACCACCAGAGAACACACACAGGAGAGAAACCCTTCAAGTGCAGTGTTTGTGGGAGGGCGTTTGCACTTTCATCTCCTCTTGTCGCACACCAGAGAACACACACGGGAGAGAAACCCTTCAAATGCAGTGTTTGTGGGAAAGCGTTTGCACAGTCATCTACTCTTGGAATACACCAGAGAACGCACACAGGAGAGAAACCCTTCAAATGCCGTGTGTGTGGGAAGGCGTTTGCACAGTCATCTACTCTTGTAGAACACCAGAGAACACACACGGGAGAGAAACCTCTCAAGTGCAGTGTGTGTGGGAAGGCGTTTGCACGTTCATCTCGTCTTGTAGCACACCAGAGAACACACACGGGAGAGAACCCCTTCAGGTGCACTCCTTGCAGGAAGACGTTTGCACTTGCATCAAATCTTCACGCACACCAGAGAACACACAAGCATCAGAAGATCCAGAAGGAGTGGAGTCTGAAATCAGCTTGTGAAAGTCAAAGTGCCGCAATGAGCCCATCCCTCATTAAACAAGAACTGGAAGAAAAGCCCAGGTTGGACACTTTTAAAGGTATCAAGGTGAAATATGAAGAGGTGAAGGTGAAATCTGAAGAAGTGTTGGTCAAGAGCGAAGAAGTGAAGGTAAAATGTGAAGATGAAGATTTAACTCCAAAATCAGACCTTCACGTCGATAGAGGCAACATGAAGCAGGAGGAGAATTCTGACTGTGAGGCAGAGCGAGGCAACTCCCAGAAGTTTGTGGAAGTTGAGGTGTGGGTGGACTTCCTCTGTAACAATACAAAGTCAAATGTAGACCCGGTAGATGTGTAGCTTGAGATTATGTCGCTCCAATAGACGCACCTTTGTCACAGGCCTTTAATGACAAGAATGTGAAGTTGAACGCACAATTCCTAGGTTCAACCTGCAGGGTAAGAGCGGCCAGTCTTTGTGGACTTGTGGGTTGCGTAGATCTCTAACCAGGAGTGAGAGCCAATAAGCACCCAAGCATTCGCTATGTAATCATAATTGCATTTACATGGTGCTTGCTTAATCGCCTCAGCAACTTGGAGTTTTGTATCGTATCTCGTCTCAAACACTCGAAGAGCATCCCCAAGTAGCAGCTGCCCCTGTGTGGCACAAGGAGGTGGCCCTACACCGGCCTGCATGTGGACAAGAGCCTGTCAGTAGGGGGCGGTGGTTGATGTGGCATCTTAGTTGTGGAGTTTGTAGGTAATGTTTTAGAATTTGATAAATTTTGACCCAGATGCCAGCATGCAATGGCCTCGTTTTCAATTACACAATATTATGTTGTCCATACACTGTTAAGCAGACGGTGCGTATTTTTTAAAATAACTTATTGTTAATACGATGTAACCTGATTCGGCATAATTAGGTGCAGTAATTAAATTTTGTTAAAATGACTCAATAATTTAGAATTAATACTTGTCTGATTTTGTCTATAAGGGTCAAACATTGATTAAGTGATGTTAGGACAAAGTGTGTGTTTTGGAAGTAACCTGGATAGTTCACTCTGGTGAGACCCGTTGTTTTTGTGATACAGGTCAAAGGGTTATTTTGTGTTTTCAGGAAGTATCTCCCTTTGGAGCAACTCATTGTCTTTGTAATAGTGAGCTCATTCGGATCATTCATCAGTTACAAGGCATACCACTCAAAAGTTACACGAATATGAGGTACATTCTCTACAACACGAATTATAATTTTGTATTACATGTTGATGTAGATTTTGTCGAACTAGGACTAGAAATTCTCCTTGCTAATTAACGTCTGAATGTTCACAACCATGGGTTGAAGCAAGCCCCTCACAACCTTTTACGACCTTGGGCCAGGAAAGTCATGAAAAAAAACTGCGCACGAACGACGCATCCACGCAAGCTCCCGATGGTCCGTTTTGAAGTTTGAAAATGAAACAACGTTGAATTGTATTATATTTTGAATTAGATAATTGTATTTCTTCATTAAAAGCTTATATCATTTTACATCTGGTAGACTTAATCTAAAACGACAGTTCGTATAAATTTCCTCTCGTCGTTAAGTAGATGGCCTTGCCGGGGATTTGGTTCAATGCGGACTTTCACCTTGTTGGGATCGCGGGATCGAGATAAGGCGACACAGAGCTGGCTGTGCGAGAAGACCGCCGTCCGTAGATCGATTCCAACGTGATCGAACGTCTGTCCCTGCGCCTCCGTCGTTCATACAGGTGAAGTACCGCTGACGACGCTTGACACCGAGGTTGAGGCACACGTGTATTTATTACAAGTCGTCACTACAGGACAGCACTGGAGGGGGTATCGGCCCCCTCACCCGTATAACTGGGGATACACCTCTAGCTATCCCTGACCTACCCCGAGTCCTCCACTAACGGGCTAGGGGAGGCTGTCTGGCCCAACACTGGTGAGTTGGGCTACGGTACCCGGAGTCCCAGAGTCTGACTCTGGTTCACGGGACCACGCCGCTGGCTCGGTCCTGCGCTGCCCTGACAAGGGCGGCGTCTCAGGGGAGTCCAGGGCTCTAGCTACCCGGGTCTTCAGTCTTCCCTTCTTCGTTCCAACACTGAGCCCCGAGCTCTCTCTGTCATCCCCTTTTATATCCCCCCACCGGATCACAACCCTATGTGGACGTCGTTGCGGGCACCCCCCCCCCCCCCCCCCCGTGTACACCCGGAGCTCCGCCCACTGTGTTTGTTCGCCGTTTGATCCCATGTACAAACAGCCCCTCGATAACAGCCCTACATCACTCCCCCCTGCATAGCTCGCAGCCGTCCCGGCTGCAACAATTCCAATAAAGGTACCATTACCTCTTGACCCTCGTGTGTGCCTCATTTTTTTTCAACAGAACGCGAATTGAACAACAACAATAACCATACCCCCAAAGGGAGAATAAACCGACGCGCCCCCCCTCCCTGAATAAATACGAAATCCGTAAAGCAAAGTATATACATTCGCCAGGAACCCCCAGCGCACACACAACACACACACAACACACACACCACACACACCCAACACACACCCAACACACAGCCATAACAACAACGTGCCAAGAGCGCCCCACCAACGCAGCGCCCAGTAACCACAACACGCGAAAAGTTTTCAAAAAAACGCAACAAAAATAATTTTTTTCTTCGTCTTCCTGTGCATTACAAGAGTCTGCGCATTTTTGCGCGCGTCCTTGCCGCAGGCCCGTCACACGGGCCAACCCCAGATGGCGGACCATCCGATGGCCGCTGTTCCTTTCGAGGTGAGTCCGCGACTGAAGTGGCGAGACCCTCGGCATCCCCCGTGTGGGTTGTTGGGCGTGAGCCCGTCATTCCTGATGTACCTGGGGACGGAACAGCCGGCAAGACGTCAGGCGAGAGCAACAGAGGCGGACCCTCCGAGTCGGTCGACCCCCCACATGTTTGGCCCTGCGTGTGCGGAGTAGGGCCTCGCACCGCAACGAAGGGTTTTAGCCTAGAGGGGTGAACGAACCACCGGCGCTTCCCCCACTTGATACGAACGCACTGAGGTCGCAAAACCTCGACCACCTCGACGGGGCCCCGCCACGGCCGCACCAGTTTCGAGGAGGTCGCGAGTGGTACCTGGGGACAGTGCAGCCATGCCCTGTCCCCTGGCTTCCACTGCAGCACGTGCGCGCGTGCCAGCCTGAGGCGCTCATTCGCCTTTTGACGCCTGTCGGAATTTAGCATGGCAGCATCTCGTGCCTCAGTCAGTTTTTGAAGGTTAAATTTAACATGTTCGTCCAATTTTGTTTTACCCAGCGGCGCGGGGATCTGCAGCTGTGCCCGAACAGGTGGGTCATGTTCGCGGCCATACATGAGAAAGAAGGGTGAAAATCCCGTGGCAGCATGGGGGGCCAATCTATACGCTGCCAGGACCCCTTGAATTTGCAAGTCCCAATTGGTCTGTGACTCCGAAACCTGGTGCGACAACATAGACGTGATGGTGCGATGCAGACGCTCGACCATCCCGTCAGTTTGCGGGTGATAGGGAGAGGTACGAATTTTCTTCGTACCCAGGAGATCACAGACCTGTTTGAGGAGTTTCCCGGAAAAATTTTTACCCTGGTCGGTCAGCAGCCGCTCCGGAGCACCTTTGTCCATGACGTAGCCTTGGACAAAGGCGTCCACGATGGCTGCTGCCGACTGATTGGCCAGGGGCCAGGCCATAGGCCAGCGCGTAAAGTACTCAACCCCTGTTAACAAATATCTATTGCCCCTAGGGGTGGCGGGAAATGGGCCCAGGATATCCAACGCTACAAGTTCGTTCACCCTGGAGACTGTGATGGACTGCAACGGCGGGTTCGACTCCCGAGCTGGTGGTTTGCGCTGCGCACACCGAGGGCATGCTGCCAACAAATCCGTGACATCCCGTGTCATGCCCGGCCAGAAAAAGTCAAGCTGGAGCGAGGCGAGGGTCTTTTGGGTACCCAGGTGGAGGAGGCGCTCATGAGCAGCCCACACCACCTTACCCCGTAACCCAGAAGGGACTACCAGCCGGTGACGGTGGGATTTCCCGTCCCAGTGCATAAGCAACCCCGCGTGCATTTCCCATGCGTCGGCATCACCCGTCCCACGCCCCCTCTCCCCGGCGCGACGACGCAGCGCGAGGAGGGAGGTATCCTCCATCTGGAGGCGCCCCCATTCATTAACAGGCAACCCAAGCAGGGAATCTCTTCCCTGTTCCGCGATATCATCGGGGAGCAATGTATCAACATCGGCGGCGGCCGCCAGGACTGGAAACGGCATGTCCCCTGCTGGCCTGCAACGCCCCGACCCCAGGAGGCATGCACATTCGGAGGCGGTTGGCATGCGCGACAGAGCGTCCGCGTTGGTGTGGCGAACGCCCTTACGGTAGGTGGTTTCGAAATCGAAATCCTGGAGGACCTCCAACCATCGGGACAATTGTCCCGATGGCTGTTGAACCTTCAGGGCGTACTGCAGTGCCGCATGATCTGTACGGACGGTGAAATGCTGACCGTACAGATATGGGCGATACTGTTGGATAAAATGGACAATTGCCAACAGTTCCCTACGGGTGACACAATATCTTTGCTCCGCCGGAGACAACACCCGACTGCCATACGCAACCACCCGTTCCACGCCGTCAACCACCTGGGAAAGCACGCCTCCAATACCCGTGTTGCTCGCGTCGGTGTCGAGCAAAAACGGCCTCGAAAAATCTGGGTAAATCAAGGGAGGAGCTTTCACCAAGGCGTCCCGAAGGGAGCAGAAAGCAACTTCCTCATCCGGACCCCAGTGGAACCGAACCCCTTTAGATGTTAAAGCGTGTAGGGGTTTGGCAATTGTCGCAAAATTAGCGACGAAGCGTCGGTAATACGACGCGAAGCCAATAAAACTCCTCACCTCCCCCACCGAGGTTGGAGTCGGCCAGGAGCTGACACACTGCGTTTTGGCGGGATCGGTAGCAATACCTGAGCGCCCCACGATGTGCCCCAAATAACGCACCGACTCGCGTAACAAATGGCATTTTTGGGGCTTAAATTTCAAATTAGCAGCCCGCATCTTTTGGAAAACCGCCCGCAACCTCTGGAGATGTTCGTCAAAAGTTTTTCCAAAGACAATAACGTCATCCAAATAAATCAGGCACGACTCCCATTGTAATCCAGCCAAAACCAATTCCATCAACCGCTGGAAAGTTGCCGGCGCTGAGTGTAAGCCCATCGGCAACCGGTTGAATTGGAACAGGCCGTGCGGTGTACGGAAAGCAGTTTTAGGCTTTGAGTCATCGTCCAGAGGAAGCTGCCAGAATCCCGAAAGTAAATCTAGTGTGAAGAAGAATCGCGCTCCCGCCAAGGCGTCCAGCGATTCGTCCATCCGTGGGAGCGGGTATGCGTCGGCAACCGAAATCTTATTAAGGCGCCGGAAATCCACGCAAAACCGCAACGAGCCATCCTGCTTTTTAACCAGGACAATCGGCGCTCCCCAAGGGCTGGTAGAGGGAGAAATGATGTCGGCGGCTAACATGTCATCGACAGCCGATTTGACATGGTCCTTTTCGGCGGGACTCAACCGAAACGGATTTTGGCGAATAGGCGCACTGTCACCCGTGTCAATATGGTGACGCAGCAGGTGAGTACAACCCAAATCGTATTTATTCCGACTGAAAACGTCGGAAAATTCCTTGAGCAGCGATCTAAGCTGTTGGCGCTCTGAATTAGACAGGTCCGTCGATCCCGCACAAAGCGCGTCGAGCCACCCTTCATCGCCGTCCGAATGCGGGTGCGTCCGGGAAGCAGTGTCAACGTGGTTCGCGACAGGTTCCTTGCAGGGCATCGGCGTCGCGTGAGCGAGCACCGTCCCTTGAGGAACCACTACTGTCTGCGACCCTACATTGAGGACCGCGATGAAAGGGTCCCCGTCCCCTCTTACGACGGTCTGGGCCGGAATTAAATGAGGGCCATTAACCCCGGCCCTAGACGGTCCCAGCACAACACCCTGGTCCCCAACGCCCTTAGCGAAGGGCCTACGAAGTTTCAGAGGTACTAACATTTGAGCTCCCGGCGGCACACGCACTGTTTTAACGACGAACGCCGGTACTGTCGCGAACGCCGTCCGAGTCGCAACAGGGGAAGGCAGGAACGCCATGCGTCGCCCCGACGGAAGCTCAATGCATCCTTGGTCGATCAGAATACGAATTGGCATTCTGCCTAAGAAGTCCGTCCCCAGCAGGCACGGAACTGCCAGCGAGGAGGAAACAAAAATCGGCCCCGACAATTTGATGTCCCCGATAGAAATTTGCGCTCGAATCTGTCCCACGATGCCGAGAGAGCCCCCGTTAGCGGCATAGAATGGAACGGTAACCGGCAGCAAAGGACGGCTCCGTACAGGTAGAATATTGTAAATTAGCTCCGAAATGATTGTCGCCGATGCCCCCGTATCGACTATGATGCGTACCTCTACCCCATCGATGTGACCGACCACGGCCGACGACCCCGACGCCGCGGCCACCACGCGATGGGCTAACACGGACCACTGCTTGGGCTCGATTTGAGTCCCCGCAGCGATCCGTGCCGGCCCGTCGCAGCGCCCCACCGGCCCCCCGTTCGTTGCGGTGCGAGAGTGTGCGACAGGTGGGTGCTTTGGCCAAACATGTGTGATGCCGCGACTCGCCGGATCATGTTGTTGGAGCTTGGGAGGAGGAGGAGGGCCGGCGTCCCGTCGGGCCGTCGTCCCGCGTTGTCGAGGAGAGCGGCATCCCGAGGCGACATGGCCCCGGACGCCGCAGTTGAAACAACGCGGGAGCGCCGACGGAGATGATGGACGGTCGAAGCGGCTCGACCCGTCCCGGCCCGACCGTGCTCCTGTCGCCTGTTGCCGTCGATGGTCGACGGCGTAGAGCTCTTCCGTCGGAAGGGTGGCTGCAGCCACCGCACGCCCAGCCGATGCCCTGCTGGCTTTCCGCCGCAGTGACAGAAGGTTGGCGTGGAGGAGGCGCGCGGCTTGGAGGGAAGTCATCTCTGCGTCCTCCTGTGCGATGACAACGATGTCGAGGTCGTCTGCCAGGAGGAGGATCTTCTCCATGACCATCGCGTCCACGCCGTCGTCGTCCATACGAGGAAAGGCCGTCTTCGCCAGCGCCAGGAGACTTGTCCGGAATGCCAGGGGCGACTCCTTCTCACCCCGCTTGCGATCGTAAAACTGCTGACGGCATTCAGCTGAAGGTCCATAGACCCCGGCCAGCAGCTGTAGCGCCATCGGTAGCGTAGCACGCTTTTCTCTCGGCGCCGATGTGAGTGCGGCGAGCGCGTCGCCGTCGAGGAGCGCCGGCAGCGCGCAGAGAGCCTCCTCATCGGACCACCTCGCCATCTCCTGATGGGCGAGGAAGCGTCGCCGAAAGCCGCCCCAGTCTCCCTCCGCGCCGATGAACTCCTTCAGCGGGGGCAGTCTCTGATGAAGCGCAGCGGTTGATGTAGACTCCCGCAGGTTGTTGTCACCACCCCTCGGCTGTGCATCGGCGCGAACGGCCGATGGCATCGCCTGTCGCAGCAGCGATGACGCACCCTCCGGCGGTGATGACGCTGCAGCTCCAGCGACGGCGATGTCGGAGCCGATGTTCAAACTGGCCACGCCCTGAGCAGCCGCGGCGTCCATGGCGGGAAATTCAAAGTTAGAACTTTCAGAAATGGCGGGAAGGCGCTCAGGTCGCCGGCTCCCCTCGCCCCGTGGTGGACCACCAGCCCCCAAACGCGTGATGCTCTCCAGCGTGGCGGCAGCGGCAAACAGCAGCTCCGCCAGCCTCTCGTGAGCCAGCCGTAGCGCGTCTGGCTGCGGCCCCTCTTCCTGCCGATGCCCCGGTAAGAAGGCGTCAGGCCCCTGCCGCACCACGTCTTGTTGATCCGTTTCGGGCTCAACGATCTCCGCAGTGTCCTCCTCCTGCGGTACTCTGGCCCGAGCTGTATGGCGCGTGTCCATGTTCGCAGTACTTCTGACACCAGATGAAGTACCGCTGACGACGCTTGACACCGAGGTTGAGGCACACGTGTATTTATTACAAGTCGTCACTACAGGACAGCACTGGAGGGGGTATCGGCCCCCTCACCCGTATAACTGGGGATACACCTCTAGCTATCCCTGACCTACCCCGAGTCCTCCACTAACGGGCTAGGGGAGGCTGTCTGGCCCAACACTGGTGAGTTGGGCTACGGTACCCGGAGTCCCAGAGTCTGACTCTGGTTCACGGGACCACGCCGCTGGCTCGGTCCTGCGCTGCCCTGACAAGGGCGGCGTCTCAGGGGAGTCCAGGGCTCTAGCTACCCGGGTCTTCAGTCTTCCCTTCTTCGTTCCAACACTGAGCCCCGAGCTCTCTCTGTCATCCCCTTTTATATCCCCCCACCGGATCACAACCCTATGTGGACGTCGTTGCGGGCACCCCCCCCCCGTGTACACCCGGAGCTCCGCCCACTGTGTTTGTTCGCCGTTTGATCCCATGTACAAACAGCCCCTCGATAACAGCCCTACACAGGGGGTGTGTAGGTTTGCAGCGCCCCCTGCATGAAAACGACGGAAAGTGCAGCGTTCGTCACAGATAGATGAAGTTGTGCGCTTATATAAGAGTATAGCCAGTGGGTTTCAAAGTACCTTTGTCTTACAGCAATCAATTTCGCGTGAGCCCAACGCATTAAAACAATGCTCAGCTGAGCGGGGCAAGCCACGGTGTGGGGGGGTGAGGCACCTTATATATGTCACGTGCCGTAGCTCACGTGACTTCTGCCGCGAAAATGTCTGGATGTTTTAATCTGATGACGACTGCTTGTGTTGTGATCGAAACGTCGCGATTTATTTTATTATTTTATTTTTTCTACGTACGTGACTTTACCGAAAGAACCAAAGAGTATGAAAGACGTCTTATCTGCTGATCTTGTTCATATCTGTGTACATCGATATCCCACATTGCTTACATGTACACGCCACACTGAAATTAATATAAACTAGAACGACTTCCGGGGATGGGCAAAGATCGAGAAAACTCTTTCCATGGAGCGAGTTAAGTGTTTTCGATTCAACATCTCTGTCCGTCTTTGTCTCTGTTGCCTCTGTGTGTCTCTGTCTCCTCTATCTTTCTCTGTCTCTGTATTCCTCTTGTCTGTGTCTGTCCGCCTGTCTTGTCTGTGTGTGTCTGTCTATCAGCGTCTGTCACACCGGAGTCAACGACTGTCAATAGCAGCACACGCCCGTTTAACTCCCACGGCTACACGCCACTCAAACTTGCTCCGAACACACAAAGACAAAGATCCCCCATATAGCCTGGACAGAATGTCGGGGCAAGTGCCCAAGCCTTGTCCCTCGTTTTCATGAGCTTAGTAATCAAAGGATCAAACCATGGTGGGCGGTTCCCTTTAGTTTTAAATATAACCAACGGAGCATGTTTGTCAAGAATTTGAAGAAACGTGTACCTGAAGATCTCCCAAGCCGTAGTCAGGTTTGGGATTTCAGAGACCTTGTCAATATCCAAGTGAAGCACATCATTAGTAAATGCCTGAATGCTCAAGTGTCTCATGGAGTGCTTCTCAACCAATTTAGGGGGGGCTTTGGGTCTGGCTGATGATCTCACCCCAAATATGAAGGAGTGATCACTAAGGTTATTACCCAGAACACCAGTCAGTGCGATATTGTGAGGGTCATTTGTCAATAGGACGTCAAGCAGACATGACTATCCCGGATTTTTTAGGTTGGGTCTTGTGGGGACATTTATTTATTGAAATAGGTTAAATTCATCTGTAAAATTTGTGGCCACGGCCTGCGATTTTAGCCAATTCCAATTTAGATCACACACTAAAACGATTTCACCTTTAGGGAGGCCCCCAAGAAGCTCTCTCAGTGCAGACGCAGCTTCAACATCCCTACCACTAGGTGGTCTATAGCAGCACACTACCAATATCTGTTGATTATTTGGGAGAGTTATTCTGAGAGCAAGACCTTCAAAGCAAGTTTTTTTAAACAAGGAGTGAGCTGGTGAACATGCAATAGTATTACAAATATAGATGGCAATTCCACCTCCTTTAGATCCTCGGTCAAGCCCAAAGAGGTTGTAGTTGTCAATCGTAATCTGCAAGTCATTTACAGGAGGAGTGAGAAATGTTTGTTAGGCAAACAATGTCCGGGTCCAGACTTGCCAGTTCTAGTTTTAGTTTACTTAATTTAATCACAAGCCCTCTGATGTTGACGTGTAGAACACCAACACCTTTTCTGCCAGAAAAATCTACGTAATTATACGTTTTCTTTGAGCCAGGATGACGCTCAATACCACCCAGAAATAAGAAAAGTAGAATTAATAGTTTGCACAGGTATTTTCTGTGAAAGGATGAAGAGCGGCGAACCTTGGACGAATATCAGCAACTCGCAGATGGTGATATTCTTAAGAGCAGAATGAAGTTTGGAAGGAGTGCTGGTGAAGTCATGGGACAAAGATAGGGTTGAAAAGGATTCAATGATGGAGTGTATAATTGTCTATACGCTGTTTCATTAGCAGGTGTAGTGGCAAATTGAGCAACAAGTATGGACGCGAAGTAACCAGGGTAGCCGTTTGTAGAGTTGAGTGTGGCACTAGATATGGCCGGGAGGGACAACAGTAGGATATACAGCAGGAGAATTGCCATCTTTAAAATATCAGGGGTATACTCTTAGTTCTTTCAGTAAAGTCACGTAGGTAAAAAATGAAATAAAAATTTATAAAAATAAAACAATGAAAATCACGACGTCGTGATTCACTTTGCAGGATCAAAGGTGCAACATCAATACCTTTGTCAAGAAGGTTTATCTTGCCTACTTAAAAAATTGGGCTCCTCACAAAGTGTGTAAAATCTGTGTTGAAACTTTGCGATCATGGTCTAAAGGAAAGAATGCTAAGCTGAAGTTTGGTGTGCCAATGGTTAGGAGAGAACCTACAAACCATTTGGATAACTGCTACTTCTGCCTTGTCAATGTAAAAGGTTTCAATAAGAAAAACAAACAACATTTACAATACCCAGATATCCCATCTACCAGACGACCAGTTGAGCACTGTGAGGAAATACTTGTGCCTGTATTAACTGAGCTACCAGAGATTTATGCTGAATCCCTCAGTTTACCTGTTTATACAGATGATGATGATGCTCAGATAGAATATACGTCATCTGATGCAGATTGTGATAAAATGTATCTGTTTAGTCAGCTTGAATTGAATGATCTTGTAAGATATTTGTATTTACCAAAGCAGTCTGCTGAATTGTTGGCTTCCAGGCTGCAAGAGAAAGGACTACTCAGACCTGGTACTACTGTCCCCTTTTATCGTAACAGAGAAGCAGTACTTCCATTCAGATGGTCAACTTGTTTATTGTAATGATGTTGAAGGGCTTCTTCTCAATATGGGACTGCCCGCATATGATTAAAGTGAATGGAGACTTTTTATTGACAGTAGTAAAAGGAGTTTGAAATGTGTGTTACTTCACAACAGAAATATATATGGTTCAATCCCAATAGGACACTAAAAATGAATGAAGAATATGCCAACATCAAGATTGTTCTGGATAGATAGGAATACCATGTTCATGGATGGCTAATTTGTGTTGATTTGAAAATGGTTACTTTTCTGCTGGGTCAGCAAGGAGGTCACACCAAATACCCTTGTTTCCTGTGCTACTGGGACAGTAGGGCTACATTAGAATACTGGGTTAAACAGAACTGGCCACCAAGAATCAGTTTGACGCCTGGTGACAAGAACATCAAGAATGAGCCTCTGGTTGATAGGAATAAAATTGTATTTCCCCCACTGCACATAAAACTTAGGTTAATGAAGCACTTTGTCAAAGCTCTTGATCACACTGGAGACTGCTTCAGCTATATATGTTCAACCTTTTCAAGTCTCAGTGCCGAGAAGAAAAGGCAGGAATATTTGTTGGCCCTCAAATAAGAACACTCATCAGGGATCCACAATTTGTTACGACTGCGGCAGAGGCTAGAGCTTGGAATGCATTATCTGATGTGGTGCGGAATTTCCTTGGGAACAGGAAAGTGGACAACTATCGAGAGATTGTGGAGGAGCTGCTCTTGAGTTTCCAAGCACTTGGATGTAGAACGAGCATCAAGGTTGCATAGTCACTTGGCTCAGTTTCCAGAGAACATGGGTCACGTGAGTGAAGAGCAAGGTGAACGCTTTCGTCAAGACATTAAAGTTATGGAAGAACGTTACCAAGACCATATGGGACTCAAACATGATGGCAGATTAATGCTGGTCCTTGATGAGAGACATTCCACAAGCTGTACATCGGAGATCGTCAAAGAAGAGGTCGTTTATCGAGATGTAACATCACTATTGTGAATGACCTTTTTGTACATATTTTTATTATCTTCACAATTCAATTCTTACATGGTAATATACATTCACTCACATTGATATGCAGTCACTCTCACAACTTTGTGCTACGGCTCATTAAATGTTTGTTTCATTATTATTGTATCTTATCTTATTCTTGTATGGATGTCTTTAGCTATTTGTATATGAGCATACATTTGCTGATTTGATTGAAAATGCAATATTTCATATCCCAAAAATCTGATGTGATAGACAAAAACTGATGCCAGATTTGGAATCAGCACCCCAAAATTACCTTAAAACCGTTGGAATACCTTATGCCAGAAAAAGTGTGACCAGTGTAATTTTTAACTCAATAAACAAATAAAAATAAACCCAACATTTCAATAAATATCCTTGTATTTGTATTACAATAAATATAGACACGTACATTTATATTTGAAAGTGCATAAATGTACACAAATTAACAAAAAAACAATACAAAAGCGGAGTGCTTTAGTCAAGGCACTAACGGACTAGGCCCTAAATCACATTCAAACTCATTAACACATTAACACTAAATAAACGTAATCTTGTTCTCTCTGCCTGTGTCCTTTCTTTGGAATTTTCACACTTAAATTCTAACTTAGCAATCTTTGAAATACGTAATCAACCGGGCTATGCGTTAATTGTGTGCTGACCGACTCTCTGTGTTGCATTACATTACATTTCGATATTTTACTAGGTTATTTAATTTTAGTGTGCCTTTCTAATTTTCAAGCTTGTGTACTGTACCACGTTGCCATCTTGCTTACCCGCTGTCTGTTCTCTCTGCCTGGGTCCTCTCTTTGGAATTCTCACACTTAAATTCTAACTTAGCAATCTTTCAAATACGTAATCAACCGGGCTATGCGTTAATTGTGTGTTGACCGACTCTCTGTGTTGTATTACATTCTTCTTCTTTAGTGCTGCCTAACGGCGTGTGCGACTTCACGATGATATTGGTCCCGGTCTAGCACGGCGTGTAGAGTTTGTGCTGTTGTTAATTGTAGCCATGTTTTGATGTTACTGAGCCATGTCGTTTTTGGCCGTCCTAGTCGTTTTTTCCCTTCGATTTTTCCTTCCAGGATTTGCTTTAATAGCTGGTATTTGTGGTCGTTTCGGGCAATGTGGCCTAGGTAGTAACACTTCCTGCTAATGATGGTCTTCAGCAGTTGCCTGTCAGTGCCCATATCTTGCAGAGCTTGTGTATTGGTGGTTTTGGCTGTCCATGGGATTTTCAGCATTCTTCGATACAGCCACATCTCGAAAGCTTCGAGCCTTTTTGTTGCTGTTGTTGTCAGTGTCCACGTCTCTACTCCGTACAGCAAAATTGACCAGATGTAGCATTTCAGTGTGCGCAGTTTGAGTGATGTACTCAAGTTGCGGTCTGCAAGGAGTGTTTTCCATTTAATAAATGCTTGCCTTGCTTGTTCAATTCTGCTCTTGATTTCGACTTCATGGTTCAACTGATCGTCAATTATTACACCAAGGTATTTAAATCGGTGTACTTGTTCCAATTTTTCGCTGCCCAGCTTGATTGTTATTTCGCTTGTAGTTCGGCTGACCTTCATAACCTTTGTTTTCTTTTTATTAATTCGTAAGCCCCATATTTGACTCTCTGTGGCAACCTCGTCCAAGATTTGTTGTAGGTCTTGTTCTGAATCGGCCAGCAGTGCAGTGTCGTCGGCATACCTGATGTTGTTGATGTATTGTCCATTGACTTTAATACCAATGTTTTTATCTGTTAGTGTTCGATCAAAAATCTGCTCCGAGTAGATGTTGAAAAGACTGGGTGAAAGTGGGCAGCCCTGTCGTACACCTTTTTGTATTGGTGTTGGGTCTGTCAATTCGTTGTCATATCAGAGTTGGGCTGTTTGCTTCCAATAAAGAGCAATGATGAATCTTCTTGGTTCTTTCGGTAAAGTCACGTAGAAGGGAAGTAATAAAATAATAAAAATAAAACATAATAAAACAATTCTCACGACGTTTCGGCCACAACGCAAGCAGCCGTCCTCAGGCGAAAACCAAGAAGATGAATCCCTGCAGTCACGAAAGCTTTAAATCGAAAAAGCAATGATGAAGTTGATGTCGTTTTTATCTAGTCCCAGTTGTTTTAATAGAGCTGCTAGTTGGTCGTGGTCGACTGAGTCAAAGGCTTTCTCGTAATCTATGAAGCAGATGTACACTTCTTTCTGATGTTCGTAGCATCGCTGTAGTAGTATCTGTAGACAGAAGATTGCTTCTCTTGTGCCTAGTCCAGGGGTCGGCAACCTACGGCTCCGGAGCCGCATGCAGCTCTTTACGGGCTGCTTCTTGACGATATGTACGTATGTACAGTATGTACTCAGATGCATTGCGGCTCTTGAAATACTGAATTTTGTACCGAATTGGAAAGAAATGGCTCTTCTTGTTATTTTGGTTGCCGACCCCTGGCCTAGTCCTTTGCAAAAGCCAAACTGTGTGTTCTTCAATGCATTTTCGCATGTGGAGCGTATGCGCTGTTGGATCACCTTCAGGAAGACTTTCAGCACGTGGCTCATCAAGCTTATCAGTCTGTAGTCCTCGCATTTCCGGCTTGTTGCTTTCTTTGGTATGGCCACAAAGATGGATTGTAGCCAGTTGGATGGAATTTTATTGCCATTGTATATTTGATTGTACCAATTCGTCAGTTGTCGTATGTTGTTGCTGTCTAATAGTTTGAGCAATTCTACATGGATTGTGTCAGGGCTACATCAATCTGAGAAATCAGAGGATGTGATTTCTCAGATTGATGTAGCCCTCAGAGGCATAGGACACATCCATGCAGATGTAGCAAGAGCTGAAATAGCTACTATTCTTAAGAATGCTAAGAAACCCACTAGTAACATCAGCAAAAACGAACGCTCGTGAATTTTTTAATTTGTTTATTTTACTTTTATTAATTTAATTTTTTTACCTACGTGACTTTACCGAAAAAACCTAAGAGTATTAAGTGAGTCACTTGATACAGCAAATCTGACTTTACCGAAAGAACCAAGAAGAAGTATAGACGTGTGACTGTATGCATTCCTCTGTGCATTGATACTGACGTGTAGATGGTGTTCAAACTTTTTTTTCTGTCTGCAGCTGTCACTTCCTCTGCAGAATTAGTCTAATGGAGCAAAGGCACTCAGCGCGGCTTGGTGCAAAAAGGCAACAATGCGACCAGCGTGCATACAGCACGGATCGTACTGGAAATTTGACACGGCACCAGAGAACTCGCACAGGAGAGAAATCCTTCAAGTGCAGTGTGTGTGGGAAGGCGTTTGCACGTTCATCTGCTCTTGTACAACACCAGAGAACACACACAGGAGAGAAACCCTTCAGGTGCAGTGTGTGTGGGATAGCGTTTACAATTTCATCTACTCTTGTAACACACCAGAGAACACATACTGGAGAGAAACCCTTCAGGTGCGGTGTGTGTGGGAAGGCGTTTGCACAGTCATCTGTTCTTAAAACACACCAGAGAACACACACAGGAGATAAACCCTTCCAGTGCAGTGTGTGTGGAAAGGCGTTTTCAGTTTCATTTGCTGTTGTACAACACCAGAGAACACACACAGGAGAGAAACCCTTCAGGTGCAGTGTGTGCGGGAAGGCGTTTTCACAGTCATCAAATCTTCAAAGACACCAGAGAACACACAAGCATCAGAAGATTCACAAGGAGTGGAGTCTGAAATCAGCTTGTGAAAGTCAAAGTGCCGCAATGAGCCCATCCCTCATGAAACAAGAACCGGAAGAAAATCCCAGCTTGGACACTTTTAAAGGTATCGAGGTGAAATATGAAGAGGTGAAGGTGAAATATGAAGAGGTGAAGGTGAAATAAGAAGTGATGGTGAAAAGCGAAGAAGTGAAGGTAAAATGTGAAGATGAAGAGTCAACTCAAAAATCGGACCTTCACATCGATGGAGGGAACGTGAAGCAGGAGGATAATTCTCACTGCGAGGCAGAGCAAGGCAACTCCCAGCAGTTGGTGGAAGTGGAGGTGTGGGTGGACTTCCTCCGAGACAATACAAAGTCAAATGGAGACCCGGTAGATGTGTAAGTCTGAGACGATGTCGCTCCAATAGACGCACCTTTGTCACAGGCCTTTAATTACAAGAATGTGAAGTTGAACTCAATTTCTAGGTGCAACCTGCAGGGTAAGAGCGGCCAGTCTTTGTGGACCTGTGGGTTGCGTAGATCTCTAACCAGGAGCGAGAGCCAATAAGCTCCCAAGCTTTTGCTATGTTATCATTGCATTTTTATTGTGCTTGCTTAATCGCCTCGGAAATTCGGATTTTTTTTTATTATCGTATCTCGTCTCAAACACTCGAAGAGCATCCCCAAGTAGCAGCTGCCCCTGTGTGGCACAAGGAGGTGGCCCTGCACCGGTGGCCCTGCACCGGTGGCCCTGCACCGGTGGCCCTGCACCGGCGGCCCTGCACCGGTGGCCCTGCACCGGTGGCCCTGCACCGGTGGCCCTGCACCGGCCTGCATGTGGACAAGAGCCTGTCAGTAGCGGGCAATGGTCGATGTGGCATCTTGGTTGTGGAGTTTGTTGGTAATGTTTAGAATTTCATCAATTTTGACCCAGACGCCAGCATGCAATGGCCTACTCGTTTTGAATGACACAATAGTATGTTGTACATATACTGGTAAGCAGACGGTGTGTATTTTTTTAAATAGCTTCTTGTTAATTCGATGTAACCTGATGCAGCATATTTCAGTGCAGTAATTACATTTTGTTAAAATGACTCAATAATTTAGAATGAATACTTATCTGATTTTGTCTATAAGGGTCAAACATTGAATAAGTGATGTTAGATTTGAAGTTTTCGTGACTGCAGGTATCCATACTCTTTGGTTCTTTCGGTAAAGTCACGTAGGTATAAAATAAAAATAAATTAAATCACAACGTCTTGGGCTCAACACAAGCGTCCGTCATCAGGTGGGACAAGCACAGCAAGAACCAACTGCTGAAGTGGGCAAAAGAGGTGCTATTGTCTTCCTAAGATGCATAAAGAAGGCTCTTCATTTCGGCCCACACACAAAGCTGACACAGCTCACTCACACAGCTCACACACAGCTCACTCACACAGCTCACTCACACACAGCTCACTCACACAGCTCACTCACACACAGCTCACTCACAGCTCAATCACACACAGCTCGCTCACACACAGCACACAGCTCACTCACACAGCTCACTCACAGCTCTCACACACATACAGCTCACTCACACTGACTCACACATACAGCTCACTGACACTGACACACGCAGCTCACACACAGCTCATTCTCTCACACAGCTTACACACAGCTCACTCACTGACTCACAGCTCACTCACACGCAGCTCAAACACAGCTCATTCTCTCACACACCCAACTCACAGCTCACTCAGCTCATTTTCACACAGCTCATTTTCACACACAGCTCACTCACACAGCTCAAACACAGCTCACTCACATACAGCTCACTCATACACACAGCTCTCACACTGACTCACACTGACTCACAGCTCACTCAAACACAGCTCACTCTCACACAGCTCACTCACACACAGCTCACTCATACACACAGCTCACTCACACTGACTCACTCATACCGACTCACTTTCACAAACAGCTCACTCACACTGAAACACACAGCTCACTCACACACAGCTCACTCACACAGCTCACTCACAGCTCACTCACAAACAGCTCACAGCTCACCTTCACACAGCTTACTCACACAGCTCACTCACACTGACTCACACACAGCTCACTCACACTGACTCACGTACTCTCACACGCAGCTCACACACAGCTCACTCTCACACAGCTCACACACAGCTCACTCTCACACACAGCTCAATCACACACAGCTCACTCACATACACAGCTCACTCACACTGACTCACACGGACACACACAGCTCACTCTCACACACAGCTCACTCTCACACACAGCTCGCTCACACACAGCTCACACACACAGCTCACTCACTGCTCACTCACACTGACTCACACACACAGCTCCTCACTCACACGCAGCTCACACAGCTCATTCTCTCACACACCCAACTCACACACACAGCTCACTCACACTGATTTCACACACTCACGCAGCTCACACAGCTCATTCTCTCACACACCCAACTCACACACAGCTCACACAGCTAATTTTCACACACAGCTAATTTTCACACACAGCTCACTCGCACACAGCTCAAACACACACAGCTCACTCACATACAGCTCACTCATACACACAGCTCACTCACACTGACTCATAATGACTCACTCTCACACACAGCTCACTCACACTGACTCACTCACACTGACTCACACTGACTCACACACACACAGCTCTCACACAGCTCAATCTCTCAAACACACAGCTTACCCTCACAGCTCAATCTCACAGCTCACACAGCTCACTCACACTGACTCACACTGACTCACAGCTCACACAGCTCACACACAGCTCACTCACACACAGCTCACTCTCACACAGCTCACTCACACACAGCTCACTCATACACACAGCTCACTCACACTGACTCACTCATACCGACTCACTTTCACAAACAGCTCACTCACACTGAAACACAGCTCACTCACACACAGCTCACTCACACAGCTCACTCACAGCTCACTCACAAACAGCTCACAGCTCACCTTCACACAGCTTACTCACACAACGCACTCAGAGCTCACTCACACTGACTCACGTACTCTCACACGCAGCTCACACACAGCTCACTCTCACACAGCTCACACACAGCTCACTCTCACACACAGCTCACTCACACTGACTCACACGGACACACACAGCTCATTCTCACACACAGTTCACTCTCACACACAGCTCGCTCACACACAGCTCACACACACAGCTCACTCACTGCTCACTCACACTGACTCACACACACAGCTCCTCACTCACACGCAGCTCACACAGCTCATTCTCTCACACACCCAACTCACACACACAGCTCACTCACACTGATTTCACACACTCACGCA